TTGATTTTATTAGTATTAGTTACTATTAGTACTTGCATTATTTATAATATATTTTTATTAAAAATTATTATATTTTTATTAAAAATCACTAAACTGCCTTATTCTTCTTATATCATTATTTCATGTTTATATTGTGCGCTGCAAATGAGCTCAATTTCTGATTGGTTGAGATTATAAACCTTCGCCACACATTATACGCAATGGAACACGTTTCTTTTTACACCATGGTACTGACCATCACATCGCCTGATTAAAAAGAATTTCGCGCTGGATCTAGCAACCTCCGCGACGAGCGAACTGCGGAGCTGTTTCGCGAGTAGTTTCGAAATACTGAAGAAAGTCTGATTTCATCTAAGCTCTTCCGACGTCGCGCTCGCTTTGTTCCATACCACGAGTATTTATTGTAACAAACATTTTCCCTATTATATTCGACTGCTTTATTGCGGAGCTGTTGCGAGCCTTGGAATCAAAATCGGCAAAAGCTTCGCGTCGTGCATGCAAGTTTGACGTGAAGAACGGCGATCTATTACAGGTCAATTAAGACCCGCCGACTTATTAGATACCGACCATTGTTATCTACTAGCTTGCTTATTTCCGCACGTCTTGCGCATCTTTCGCACCCTCTCGCCTGCTTAGCGTGCACCTTGACGCATGTTTTTGGATGATCGCGATTACGTATCGGTGACAATCTATTCGTTGCAGCCTGATCAGTGCTATTGGCAAATAGTTGGTTTGACTAACTCCGCTAGTCACCGCCTAATGGTATCGTATCGATGGTCTATTTTGTTTATTGTAATCATTTATCGTCTTTTGGTGATTTGTACATGTATTTGATTACTATCTTTATTTTTATTTCTATTACATTGTCAATTATTATTATTTGTGGTGCAAGTTTACACTACGAACATATTACGCAAGCAGCAAGGCGGCCTTAAGCTTGGCACCCGCAGCCGCCGCAGCGCAGCTACTACGCGGCGCACGACGGCGCCAGCTTGCTTGCAAGAGACAATTACCCCGGCGTCTAAATAAAACGACCATCGACGGATCATCGATCATCATCCGCTCGCTACTCGGCTTGAGCGCAGATCTCTTAGAGATCTCTTTTCTCCATTAATCAGAGAAATTAATTGAGGCATTCCGTCAAAAGATCCTAGGTCGTCCTCCAGGAGCACTGACCGACCCGTGTCTACAGCACCACTCAAGGAAAAGGAATTTTTACCGTGGCGGCTTATCCAGCTGAACTTTTCACCACCACCGCTATCAGGAAGAAGTTTTTCGCAAATAAACTTTGGTCGCTCCATGACGCCCTCGGCCTCACCGCCGCAACGCAAGGAGTTCCAGCACGTGGCAACGCAGATACGCTGAGCTCGCCGTAGGACCAAGGACAAGCAGCAGCGATTCTTTACTGCAGAGCAAGCGTGCCAAGCCGACATCGCCAAGGAATCAACATTTACGGCTACGCAGACAGACCCTCCGGCAACACCACCAAGCTCGCCGATCATCGCTAAAGAGTCAGCATCTACGGCCACGCAGACCGGCCATCCAGCCACGCTACCGAGCTCGCCGACCCGAGTAATTGCCAAGGAGTGGCGATTGACAACTGCGAAGTCCCGGATCTTTTGGCGAGAAAACACAAGGCGCCGGGAAAAATAAAAAGGCTCTTTTCAGGGCTCCATTGTACAATAAAAACCAAAAAAAGAGTTGTACATAATGTAAATAAAGTGTTTTTTCAAATTACAGGAAGACTTTTAATATACACGACCATCACTTCCGCAATCCTTGCTGCTGTCACCATCGCTGCTGCCTATCCGTCATCTCACATACAAATTCCCAAATTTTTAATATTTTTTTTGTTATTGTTGTCAAATGTTTAGATTGTTATAATAAATTGTTAGTTCTTGCAAAATCTTATCTTCTGATTCATTTATTGCGCGAACAAATTTGTCGGAGGAGTTATAAGGGACAGTCTTAATTACCACAATTATTAAACCTAGCCTCTCGTCCTAAAAACGAGATAGTCGGCCCGTTGTGTCGAGCGACGCTAAGTTTGACGCGTTAACGTGTCTGGCACCCAAAATTCTTACCAAGGATCAGTCGGCTTGGCGCAGTGGTTGATTCGGTTTTCCCTTGTTTCTCTCCTGCTATTTAGCCAACGTCTTATTCTCGCGGACTTTCGTCCGTGTTCCGTGTTCGAGCTTCCGTTTCAGGCGGAGCGACACGAGAATACTGTAACAGCGTAGAAAACCGTCACAGGAAGAGCAAGCGTCTGAACTAGCATCTCTAGTATGTACGTATGTACGTATGTAAGTATGCATGTATGTATACGTGTATGTATATATGTTTGTATGTATGCACATACTTTAGTTATATTATATTGTAATATTATGAATTGTATATTACCTTTAAGCAGAAATTTATATCAAATTTTCACTGTGTACGTGGCATAAAAAATTACATTTGTTTTATTACATGAGCGTTTTGGTACTATTAATTTATTAATATTTTTTTGATAATGCATAATAACGTACCGCTGGTAATAAAAAGCAATGCTCTTCATGTTATGTTGCTCTTCGTGTTATTGTAACATTATTGTTTAAATACTTATGATCCTTCTATAAAGCGACAAGAATCTCTTTATATGTACACACACACACGTACCCAGATAGCAAGCTTACGTGATAATGACGTCAGTTTTTGGTCTGCACAACGTCAATTATGACATAAAAAGTACATCATTTTGATGTACATACTACGTGATTATGTCACATCTTATTGACGTCATTATATTACGTCAAGTAGACGTAAATATAATCAGAAAAGACTCACCAAATTGACATGTTAAAGACGTTATTGTAAATTTAAAAGGAAAATAAAATACAACACTTAAAGAACAATAGTACCAACATCCCACATAGCACGTAATATTATTGCATTACAATAATATTAAAATGACAGCCGAAATGCATTATAGTAATATTACGGTGATATATAAAAAAAACAACACTTTATAGAAAAAAATCAATTCGGAATTTCACTTGAATTAAGTTTTGGAGACTTGACTCAGTTTGTCGATCAACTGATTAATTTGATGAAAGATACCGGACCCGGAAAAAATCCTAAGGTAGTGGTAGGATTTAAACTCGAATCTCCATATTTGCAGCTCTTGCACTCAGTCCGCTAAACCACTTAATCCTTACTATGTAATGTATGAGCCAAAAATAATTACATTAGTAATTATTCCTTACTATGTAATGTATGAGCCAAAAATAATTACTACTGCAATTATTTTTGGCTCATACATTACATAGAAGGAACAAGTGGTTGAGCAGACTGAGTGCAGGAGCTGCAAATAAGGAGATCTCGAGTTTAAATCCTACCACTACCTTAGGATTTTTTCCGGGCACTTATGACTGAAGATTTCATGTTTGTAAATATTTTCCTTTACTTTTTCTTAAACTATTCTACACATTTTATTTATTATTTATTATTTAATAAGAAATATTTAATAATAATTGGTTTTATTATAAACTTTAAATTACTATAATAAACTCATCATTAAATATATTTATTATATATTATGTTATTTTTAATCCCAAAAAATTTAATACATAAAAGGTAATCAATTTACCAAATTATACGTGGCTACTTACCTATAAATCAATGACTATACTTACCTATAAATAATGTATTTAAAGATATAATATTATTCAAAAAAACAGATGTTATTAATAAACATATTATTATAATTAACGGTTGAATTTAACTCAAGTTTGTTGGTAGAACGTCATTTACCCGTTTTATTAATGTCATATTAAAAGTATATAATATATAAGTTGATATATGACGTCAATCGGATACGTCATCTAAATGACGTCATATCGGCTACGTCAACTTTTGGTATTGTAAATGAACTTTGGTATTGTCAAACTAACATACCATATACGCCTAAGTAACTTAAAGCTCGTTCTACGTTGAGCGCAAGCGCAAACGTAAGAAACAGGTCTGGTAAAATTGACTAATCGTATTGATCAAATTAGCCAATTGACCAGCGTGATTGGTCAATTCTACGAGATCTATACCTTACGTTTGCGCTTGCGATCAATGTAGAACGAGCTTTAAGTTACTTAAGCGTAGTTACTTAGTCATCAAAATCACTTCATAATCATTCATTATCACGTAAGCTTGCTACCTGGGTACGGGCACGCGCGTGCGTGCGTGTGTTCTACCTTTATTAATGAAAAACAGTGTTGTCCATTTTATTGTGACATTATTGTCAAAATAATTATGATTATAATGAAGAATTTCTAGTTACATATATACATACACACACATGCACGCGCGCGTATAAACACACATACTAACGACGTTTCGCCGCGGTCATCTTGTGTTCTATGGTAGGTAGGTAAGCAACAGTTGTTAATCGGATGAGCGTTTGTGATCTGAGTTTAAGTCTGTCACGGCGCGTTTTCTGTGCGACTTCCGGCGACCGAAGAAAGCATCGTACGCTTATGCAAGTGCAACACTATACTATACTAAACTATACTATACTATACTATACTATACTATACTATACTATACTATACTATACTATACTATACTATACTATACTATACTATACTATACTATACT